AAATAATATTAAAATTATAAAGAGACGCATGTGGACACACGTGTCTTAAATTGCTCTTGCTAATTTGGAGGAGATATAGAGTTGCATTTATTTTTCTGCAACGCCTTGGATTTTCCCTTGTTTCCCCCTAACAATTGCATTCACCCTTTTCTATAAGGTTATTTACATCCATTATATTTATGCGGCATCCAAATTCTCTTACCTCATGTGGATCTTTCAATGTTTTCATCCTATATAGAGTTGCATTTATTCTATGCAATGTCTTGATTTTTCCCTTTTTTCCCTCTAATAATTGCATCCAATCTATGATGCGCGGGCACTTCTAACTAAGGAGTTGTGCAGTGTCGAACATTTCATGAACACCGAAAATTGCACGACACGCTCAAACACGTCTCTGACACATCTTTATCGTGTCTGATTTAAATAATATTAAAATAAAAAAGAGATGCATGTAGACACACATGTCTTAAATTAGTGAATTAATTTTTTTTTAACATCTATGGTATATTTTTGTTAAGTAAAATTAAAAAAAATATATATTTTTTATTTAAAGGTTAAACATATGTCTTCAACTTATTGATCTGATTTATTTTTTTGCAAACGGGCTCGAGTCGTTTGTCAATAGCTTGCATGGGCTGGTATTTCTGATTATGGACATCTTTGTTTTATAAAGATAATTCTATTAAATTTCTTATTTCTATTTTGTATTATTATTATTATTATATATATATATATATTGCATGCAAATATATCTATACATACATGTATCGTCGTCCTCTCCCCTCTGCTAGGGTTTCGCCTCATAGCGAAACCTAGCGTTCCGCTTCACCTTCGTCGTCGACTTCGTCTGGTGGAAGATCGCGTCGTCTGGCACAACGATTTCTTGTGTCGACTAATACAGCTCAACATCTTGCGTCGTTCGCATGGGTCCTTGTCCGCTTCTATGATTCTGCGTCAGGCTGAAGGGCGTTGACCCAGATCGATAGTTGCGCCACAACAGACCCATGTCTGCGTCGTTTTTGCTCGAGCTGAACTCGCAGGGCTCTCTGGATTGACAGCTCTCGTCGTTCGCACGGGTCCTCGTGCGCTTTGCGATTCTGCACCCAGCTCGATACTACACCACGACAGACCCACGTCTGCCTTGTTTCTGCTCGAGCTGAACTTGCAGTGCTTCTCCAAAGGGGTTTCCGCTCCTGCTCCCTGTTTTCTGGATTCAGACTTTGCTATTTGCTTTGCTTTATCCAGTGTTCTTAACGCTGGACCTCCATTTATTGGGTATGGCTTTAGACAGATCGTATGCTGCTGTCATTGCCGGTGTCAACGCATTAGGTACACCTAAATCGTGTTTTTTCCCTTCTTTGTTTGAGTGAGAGGAGAATATCAAGAAACCTGGTAGGAAGAATGAGAAACCTGCTATCTTTTTAACAGAAACTGAAGGTATTCAACTTGCTTCCTTCTGTTGACTGAATTTTGTCGGGAAGTTTCTGCATGGTCATCCCAAAATGGATTTGATTCATAAAGAATTTGAGCTTATGCACCTGGTTGGAGAGTGAAAAGTTGAACTGTTAGATGGAAGACACATTCTTATACAAATTAATAATGAAGAGGATTACACACACTTATTTGTTAGAAGGATAATTTGGATTGATAACAGAGCAATGAAAATTCTGAAATGGTATGTAGATTTTGACCCACAGACGAAACCGTTCCCCAGACGGAACCGCCAATCATTCCAATTTGGATTTACTTCTCGGGTCTAAAATTTCATTATTTTACTCAAAAAGTTTTGCACGCTATTACCTCAACTTATGGTAAGCCACTCAAAAAGGATATTCCTACTTCTAATCTTTCCGGTCTATCTAAAGTCAGAGTACTTGTTGAAAGAGACATATCTCAGACCAAAAAACATAGTGCTTCGCCAGAGGCACTAATTTCATCTCCTCCGGGCCAGCTCCAATTTATTGACACTATTGATCATAAAAAAGATACCCCTAAGACGTCACTATTCTTGCAGGTAATATGACAACCATTTAGCCGTCTTTGGAACCTCCTATCGTGGGTGAGAGTGAGATTCTTCAGATCCACTTGCCCTAGAACCTATCACTGATATTATAGGTGACAGTACTTCTATTGCTTCACTACCGCTTAATCAGGTCGAGCAAAATGTAAATGTTACTCAGGCTCATGAGGATCATGATGTGCAGCAGCCTTCACATGTTCGCCCAACTTTGGAACAATCTATTGATCATATGAGCCAATGATCGGATGAGGAATGACAGGTCTACACATCCAGGATGAAGAAGAAGAATGAAGACCTACTTGAGCTCAAGAACTTGATGGATGATACTTTGGTTACTTCGGGCAATGATACTCATCTTTTCAATTTGTTAGCCGGCTCAATTTCGAAAACTAGAGACAGATGGAGGACTAAAGTGGGATGTCCCCAACACTTTTTGTACCCTTTGGAGGCTTTTTGGTTTTTTAACTTTATGTATTTTTGCTTTATTTGGGATTTGTGTGTGCTGTATTGTGTGAGTTGGACTTTCTTTTAGTTGGACTTTCTTTTAGGCCCTCTTAGGCCCTCTCATACAACATTTCTGTATCTTTTTTTCTTTAATATATCAACCCTTGGGTTTTTTCTAAAAAAAGTTATATGTATATATATAATTTTTAGTATATAGCGTGTCTGATGTGCCTCCGTGTCGTGTCATATCCGTATCCATGCAACTTAGCATCCACCCTTTCTTTTTAGGTTTTCTACATCCCATATATTTACGCTGCATCCAAATTCTCTTACATCATGGGAATATTGATGTAGTTTAATGAAACTTTGTAGATAATTGCTCTCTTGATGCATATTCTTAAGTCTTTTACGGTTAACTTTATATTGATTGTTTTTATGTTTCTATATACGGCACAGTTCTGCCAAAATCTTTGAAAATGTGTTTTTTGAAAGAAAAAACAATGAGATGTGAGGATGATGAGGGTTGTGGATATAGAGTAGGAAGGGAACAGTTTATGCCTTAGAAATGTAAGATTTGGCACAATTAATTTTGTATTGCTCTTGCTGATTTTTAGGGGATATAGAGTTGCAATTATTCTTCTGCAATGTCTAATTTTTGCCTTGTTTCTCTCTAATAATTGCAGACACCCTTTCCTTTTAGGTTCTTTACATCCCTTATATTTAGGCAGCATCCAAATTCTCATATATCTTGGGAATCTTTCCATTCTTTAAACTACTTAGACGTAACCATCTGTTGGCTGTGTGTCCATCATCAATTATTATCATTTGGTAATCATTCAGCCACTTGCTTTATTAACAACATGAATAGGAAGTAAAATATATATATATATATATATATAAAAAATCATAATGTTGTTAGAATCAGAAGTTGATTGATCGCAGAATAACTGATCTTAAATGAGGAAGTTATCTTGAATTAGGCATCCATTTTATGCGTGTAATTTAGATTTGAATTAGTATGTAAACAGAGGGGTTAGCTTGTGAAACTTTGACGCATTAGACATGGCATGCCTTAAAGGTGTTACTCAGAGTAGCATGCATTTCTATTTTCTATGTAAGATTGAATAACCTCGTCATGGCTTCTCTTGGAAGTGTCCTCTTGTCTGTGTATGTTTAGACTCTTCAATTCATCGATACATGTGGTTATTGTCTTGATCTGATGCTGCACGTCATCAAAATTCTTAATACAAGTATTTGCAACAAATTTATGAATCATGTAACTCCATTTATTTTTATTGAGTGCTGTGCTGTGTTAACTCGAGTTTACTTAAGTTTGTTTTATGCATAAATTCTGTCTATGTTTGGTGCACATCTTTTTCTTTATATTCTTTTCAGATCAGTTCTTTCTTTCTACCTTTTGGACTTTGGAACATCTTTTGCTCCAATTCTATAAAGCCAAACCACTTAGGCCAATTTTCTACTAGCATAGCTACATTATATTTTAATCATGTTGTCGTCTCAATAATGTAATCATTTTTAGTTTCATGATCTATCCATCATCATATTTTTCATTGTCACAGTCAATTTGTTTGTTAATGTTTTTATATTGCACAATACTCAAATCCATACAGCATTTGTGGTTAATTCAGTTTTTCAGAATTCACCTTTTGTTCTACATGACATTTTCTTATATTAAAGTACCAAGTGGACATTTCTTCATTTTATGATCCAACGTTAGTTCTATATTTTTATAATAGATCCAATGAAACTAAATCAATCTGACCTAGATATCACTATATCATACATATTACTGATCTATGAGTGATCATTCGTATCCCTATAATTGTGCAGTGTGTTTCTTGTCTTCTTCTAACCTCTAAGCTCTTATTTTCTAAAACATTGTAACTCATGCTGCCTATACACGTGTAATATGATTTTAAAAGTTAGGCTGGTGCCTAATCTTATGCATTAAGTTTTGATGTGATGTTAAAGATCTGAGTGGTATGAATGTAAATATGCATGTTTAGGTGTTAAATGTGTAAATACATAAGAATAGCGTGCAAATGACCCTACTTTATGATTTGCTCAAACATGGCAACGGTTTGTGGAACAAGTTCTGTCAAATGACTCATTTTCTCTATCATTGTTTATTGCTATCCTGCAATGGTGCGGTGCATATTAGAAATATTCTTATCATGTAGTAGGTTTACATTTGAAACAACGCATTTGTGCTTGTCATATCACGTGCATTGAAGGTAGCAAACACCAAGTCAGGATGTTTATATGATGAAAAAGTTCAATTTTGCTAGTTCAGTTCCACTATGTGTCACTATGTGTCATCATTAGTCTAATCCCTAACAATTTGGGATCAACTTTATGAACCCTCATTCTTTATTTGTTCCTCTGAACGCTGCATTAAATTGTTAAACTTATATTGTCACAGTTTTTTTTTTGGCACAATTTCTATCTAATAATAATTACCATATGTTCTGACACCTTGCATTCTTTTTATGATTTTTCTTGGCTTTGAGTAAAGTGGAGAGGAAAGTGGCAAACAGGATTTAGATGCCCTACGATTGACTGCCCATTGTCAACTTTGAGGGCTAAACCTACTCATGAACGAAAGAAATATGTTTCAATTTTTTTCCCTCGAACACGGACATATTCATGGGTAGATATGCTGCTTGTATGTCCAATTGAGGAGTTTCCAGAACCGCTTGCTTATGGAACACATCGGAAATGGAGAAAATTAGTCAAGGACATGAGCACCCCACGCCGATTTATCATGCAAAAGCTTGCTGTCGCAATGCTAAATATCAGTGACCAGTTACATACAGAGGTTTGAAATTCTTATTACCTAATTGTCGCTTCCCACCTCTCATCTTAAAAAATTTTTCAAACAGCCAAGTCAAATTACAGGCGGTGATTGAGGATGCTCGTAGGGCTATAGCATGGAAGGAATTTGCTATGGAAGCCTCACGCTGCAGAGCCTATCCTAGCCTTGGGCAAATGCTTTTAAAGCTTCAAAAAGTAAGTTTTAAGCCTTCATAATATTGGAAGAAAACCATGTCTTAACATTATAAAGTTTTTTTTATTGAGGATCCCCGTGGTTCAAGATGCCATCAGCATAACCTAGCTGCTCGGAGAACCAGTTGATCCAGTGGAGGAAACAATTTGATCCTCAGCATTGTTTTCTAGCTTTGTTAGAAGACCTGTTTTTTATTTCCTTTTTTGTTTCAATTTCTTGGCTAAAGACTAAAGAAAACTGACAAAATGAGACAATTTCCCTAGTGCATGCGAGGTCTTATTCAGCACAATTTTGCTGGGTTAGCTAAAGGAGCCGTGGCTTAATTCACCATTATTTTGAGCCACTGATCTGTGAACGATGGCCTTTTGGATGCCCTGCCTTTGATTTAACTGTATTGGATAGCCTATATGCAGTATGTTTGAATCTACATTGCTCATAATGCGCTGTCGCTGCATTTTCTGTTGAAATGTCCACTGTGGTGCGGTCTCCATAAAGCCATTGTCCTTGAAGTCTTTTAGATTAAGTTTGTATGCAGATTCTATGGGTATTTGTTGTAGGAAAGCTTGTTCCATTATTGTTCTTATTATAAGGACCTGACTCAGGAATCTTAGAATTTCTAAGGTGGGAACGGACGATCGCATGATATTGTCATATCAGTCAATTATATATAACAAATTATGATCGCATCCAAACTATAAAGAACTAATAACTCAGAGTCAAACACATAAAAATATACTTCATGTAACAATGCCATTAAGAAAATAAACTGAACACAAAATAATACTCTCAAATACCTATTCATATTTGCTTACCTACTCTAAACATACTCTCTTCTAATATTTTAATTTAATGGAACTTTTTTTGGAATAATATGTAAACAATAGAATAAGTTTAATAGTAATTTAGTGAATAATTATATTTTTATTGTGAAACCCTTATTGATATGCTTAAACACGTATGTGATTCAAAATGATAAAACATTAAAATAATTTTATGTCTATTTCTATAATTAGAAGTTTTATAATATTTTTAGATATATTTTCATGTAAGAAGCCATCTCGGGAAGACATTCTAAAAATCTGTACCAATTACGATACAAAATATTCCACTTTCTTGAAATTTGAAAAATTAAACGAGAGCAAACATATCTTGATTGAAGAGATGAATATAGCTTGCATTTTTTATACTTTCTCATTGGTGGCAACTTTCTCTAATACATGCTTCCATAAAAATTTTACAAATATAATTTCTCTATTATGGAGTCTCTTAACATCATAATACAACATCTTTTCAGGTTCTTCTACATAGGTTAAATCTGACTTAATGTCAATTGAATTTGTAATAAGTCTACTCAATTCTTCAGTTATGTACTGTTTAAGGGAGGAAATATGAAATACATTATGTTTTCCTTCAAGTGTGCTACTATAGGCAATATGTAAGCCACATTTTCAATCTTCTCAACAGTTTCTGATGAATATGCAACATCCATCTATCATCTTTATAAATGAAGTCTTGTCTATTAAGGCCAATCCCTATATCGTAATTACGACATTTATTGCTAATTTTTAAATTGATAGTATTCTCATTGTCATAGAGTTTTGTAAATATTTCATATAAGTCTATTTTTTTATTAGATTAATCAGGGATCTTGTGTCTATCAGTTACATTGGACTAATTTATGGCTTCTCAGAAGAGAATGAGACATTGGGAGTGCTAATTTTGTCCATCACTTAAGGCGAAGGTGGCAAGTTGTTTGCCGCTATGGTCGACTTCATCGTCTATTCAACAACAAGCTATAATTTCATCTTTGGTCACCCCGTCCTCAACAAGTTCAAAGTCGTCGTCTCAACCTACCATATAATAGTAAAATTTCAGGAGAATGAGAAGTAATCACTGTTCGAGGTGCCTTTGAGCAGTCGTGTGCCTGCTACATGCAGGTCATAAATAGTTTACACCGGGAGGCCTCGGAGCTAGACATCAACGAGGGTCGGGGAAGTGTGCTAGATACTAACAAGGCAATCAAAGAGATCCTTGCTGTAGTTGGAGAGACTAGTAAGTTTTTTTTTGGTTAAGTATGTTTTTTTTATGTTGTTTGCAAGGAGAAACTCATCACCACACTTCCTAAATATCGCAATGTGTTTGATTGGTCTGCCAAGGCAAGGGGGGGGGGGGGGGGGG